TATCAATGCTATATAATAAGCTTGAAATCTTATTCTGTTACAGCTCCAAAAATCAATGTTTTAACTCCAGTTTAACATTACAAAAGTCACAAATGCATTTAAGAGACTATAGAGGCAAACATAGATAAGTACTTCCCTCTGGTGAGAAGATCAAAGCTGGCTATAGAAAGAGCCATTTTTCAACATTAGAATGTAACTGTTTAGCTATGAAGGTGGAATCTGGCACCAATAAAGCAGGGATCCTCCCCATATAAAGTTAAGCATTAGGTTCTGCGGTAGACAGAAGGCATAGTTTATTTAGGCAATGCAGGAACACAGAGAAGCACTCATCTGTGAAAGGGCACGACACCACTGTCAGCTCAACTAACTAGAAGCAACACTGTTGATATTGCTGAGTGCTAACGTCGATTTCTGTAGCATAGTCATTACCGCGTTCGGCTCATTGAGCGGTAACGCTGGTTTCTGTAGCATAGCGATTGACGCGTTCGGCTCATTGAGCGGTAACGCTGGTTTCTGTAGCATAGCGATTGCCACGTTCGGCTCATTGAGCGGTAACGCTGGTTTCTGTAGCATAGCGATTGCCACGTTCGGCTGATTGAGCGGTAACGCTGGTTTCTGTAGCACAGCGATTACCGCGTTCGGCTCATTAACGAGTAACGCTGGTTTCTGTAGCGTGATGATTGCCGCGTTCGGCTCATTAAGGAGTAACGTTGGTTTCTGTAGTATAGTGATTACCACATTTGGCTCATGGACAAATAATCCTTGGTCTGAAACGCAGTGGAAACAAATATATCCAAGAATTTCCCCCTGGGGAGAAGTTTTATTTTATCTGAGTTTCCAAGTCCAGAAGCACCAGTATATGAATAAGTTTACCCTAAAGCACATAGATGTTTATTTCTGTAATCAAACAAAGCTCTCTCATAGTACTAATGCTGTTAACAGAAAGTAAAAACCTGCGTATAAAACAGCCTGGTCAATGTTTCTCTCGGACAGGCTGTAGACCACAGAGACAATGTACAACGGCAGTGGTGTCTTAATGGTTAGGGAAGCGCACTTGTAATTGAAAGATTGCTGGTTCAAGTCCCAGACCAGCAAGGTACCACTAAGGTACCCTGAGCTAGTTACTACCCCAAACCACTGTTACCTGGGTGCTGAATTAGCTGCCCCCTGCTACATCATGATGTTATACATGGGTTAAATGCAGAGGACCCCTTTCGTTATTGTGCAATGTGTGTTGTGGTGTGATCACTGATCACCAAATTCTAAAATAGCAACGAAAAATGTTACTATGCAAAAGGTGACAGGAAAGCCACAGAATAGACCTGCTCAGTGTAGTAACTTTGCTATGGTGCCTTTCTAGTCAGGAAATGTGTGTGTATGTAGAAGTGGAGGTTGGCTGTCAAATGTATTTTTCATTTCTTTAACCTTGCTTGACCCATCAACCTACGACTCTTCTTCTGCATCATATAATCTGATACCATCATTCACACAGAAGGATGAGTGGATGGATGGATGGATGCATGCAGAGGTGTGTGATCTTTAGAGAATCCTGCATAAATACCCAGTGTCACAGTGTGTCACTGTCCTCAAAACAGGAAAAGGTTCCAGGTATTATTAATGGCAATTAAAGATAAACAAATCATTAATTTAGCAAAATAGTATTAAAACTGTAACGGAAAATATATAATGTTTTTTTATTTCATTTCAGCTAGTTTCAGAAACAATATTTATTGTTTTCCTTTAGTTGCCGTTTATTTTCATTTCTTATTTCATTTAGATTTCATTAATGATAATGACTGTACTCCAAAGGACTAATTCCTCTTAACAGGAATAATCTCCATCCTCCCTTCATCTTCCAGCGTATCGCAGAGTGTCAGAAGATGGCCTTAAGGCGGGGGGCACCCTAGACAAAACATCAGACCCAGACCACTCCAACACTGCAGACTTCAACCACCCCCCCCCCCACCCCCAAAGGGGCGAGATAGCCGTGTTACCCTCACAAACCACAATGTTGTCCAAATGGACAATGTGTTTCAGTTCTATGAAAACTTAAAAACCTGCCATCTGAGTGCCAGCACATGTGCCCCCCTCCCCATCTGATAACCTCAGTGTGCCAGCACATGTGCCCCCCTCTCCCCATCTGAGTGCCAGCACATGTGCCCCCCTCCCCATCTGAAGCTTCACCTGAGGCCTCAGAGCCACTGACAGCTGCTTCATTTTGCATGAAAGAAACTCAACAAAGGCTCATCTAAGGTCCTTAGACTTTCATTCCCAGTCGTGCGATATGCTAATTGCTGAGAAACATTTTTCTGAGAAGAAAAAAACTGTCTTGTCAGGATTAATTAAGTCATTTTTTATTATTTTTTACAGACTCTTACCCAACAGCATTTACAGTATTTTAACCTATTTTTACGTTACTCTCCATAAGATGGCTTCATGCTGAGAACTGAACAGGAAGCGGAATCTCGAAGTGACCCGAGGTCAGTAAAACGACGGCATCAGTCCCGTGGACAGAAAGCAGCAGACCTGGGCAAATGTGTCCAGCGGAGCTACTTACCTGGCCCACGGCATCATTAAAAAAGGTGACGTCATAAACGGCATAACTGGGGGAGGAAGCCCCGCCCATGTCCGGTTTGGAACATCATTACGAATAAAATTACTTATGTTAAAGTCTATGGAGATAAAAAGATTTTTTTGCCCATAAACCTCTCTTTGCGTTATTTGAATTATTAATAAATACATAGCTAAATCTAACAAGTTACTATTATTGTAGCTCACATGGGACATAATGCTTTAAAAATGCCTTGAGCTGATATTGTGAAGTTTTGCTCCTCCACAGAAAATACCAGCCCAGGCCTGATCTACAGGCTACCCACTGCTGTCTAAGGCACAGAGTGGATAAAATAATCCAGCAAGTTCTGCATTATATTCATTCATCACATGGAGGTGAAGTGGCAAAAATGACACTAAGAAGGACTAATGCAGGGTCTCCAACTCCAGTCCTGGAGAGCTACTATCCAGTAGGTTTTCTATCCTACCTGGCTTCTCATGAACCACACCTGCTCCTGGTATTTACCTGAGAACTAGTGTGGCTCATCAGAAGCCAAGTAGGATGGAAAACTTACTGTATAGTAGCTCTCCAGGACCGGAGTTGGAGACCCCTGGACTAATGCATTCGGAACTTACAATAACGTTACAGGATACAACAGTCAAAAGAAATGCTTAAACCCGTAGCTAAGATCTCTTCTTTTGAAGGTGTCATTTTGTGTGACTATGGTAAGCAAGTCAATATGACCGCTTCATTATCTGTATTAAATCATGTTTAACGGTCATTGCCCAGAAGGAACACGAGACATTCTGTAAGAGTTCCGTCTACCTGCTCACCAGGCCTCCATACTTGCATACCAGCACTGAATAATACTAATGACTCATACATCATATAGGAAACCCTCTAACATCAGAGATATTGCACATTAATTCATTAACACACTGCTCTGGTTATAAGCTTCAGAATATTTAATCGGGCATAATGTTCTCTTTGGCAGCTGTAATGTTTAACCATTCGTAATAATTTATCACGGCATCTGAATAGAACCTGAGCAGACATATAAAGCAATACTGTTACAGCTCAAAGAATCTTTAATAATACATTAACCCACGGTTATTTTCCCCCAAAGAACCTCATAGAACAGAACACCTCATCTGATGAGTCAGGTCCAGGTTCCACCCGCATCTTGAGAGGATTCTTGGCCCCAGATGCAAATCCATTTTTTAAAATGGCCTTATAATGCATAAATGTTGTAGTAAATGTTAAAATCCAGGCCTTTGAAATCAGGAACACAACAAGGAAATTGCCTGAAATCAATTATGGAAAAATATAACATGTTTGGAGTTATGTCAGATCTTAAGTAGAATGGATTACTTACTTTTATTTAAAAGAGAGGAAACAGTATAGACATTTTTCATACGAAAACCAAGGCAGTGCATGAAACAAACAGGCCTATTTCCCAGTTTAGCCGAACACCTTGCAGACAGTTTCACATATTTACTATTTATAACTGTTCACTTGTAAGATTATTAACTACATAAAGTACAGGAAACCCGAAATATGAAAGAATGTAAGAGCGGTACTCTCTCTGTAATGTCACCCAACCTATAGTTCAGCACTCCTACGTCTACTAGTGAGTAATTACATAAGTTTGATTACCGAAACGTTATTCAGATAGGGGCAGTATTAAAGGTCCGTATATGTGCAACCCCATGGAAAACGCGATTTACCGGTTGGGGCCGGGGTGGGGGGGGCGCTACGCACTATTCAATTCCACCGCATTGCCGATAGTTAGGTTACCATACAGCCATTCGCGCACAGGAGATGCTGCAATTGCGGGCTATTTACAGAGAAACTGTGCAGATGTACTCATTGGGAGTCACCGTCAAATAGAACAAGTAGGAAAAGGTATAACCTGTAAATCGGAAAGTAGGATTTAGCGATTCGTCAGACCATTAAGGACCGACACAAGCATATAGATGCGGTACGAGGAGGTAAAACTACTGCAAAAGTACGCGGCCGTGCTTCCTTATGCAGTGACGTTAAAACATTTTAAACAGGTCAACGTTACAAACCTTAGCGAATAATATTCAACAAATCAGACAGTGTTCGGTTTTATGTATTTAATTGCAGTAAACATAGCATTTGCATTGACTGTCGATCAAAACGGCAGAATTTAGCAACTGTTAACATAAAGGTTTATAGATATAGCACTATGTTTGAGCCAAGTCCTTAAAACACACACACACACACCGTGGGAATAGCACGGCGAACTGACACATTTCTCTGAAGGCGTAAATGGCTCCTTTTAAGACTGCGATAAACATCTGGGCTTACAGTATCCATACATTTAATGCTCATCACCCACCCGCAGCATCTGGACACCGCTGCCCTGCGATCACAGACATGTCGTGCAATGGGCCAGTTCTGTCATTCCCTTTAGCGCACTCACCAGTCAATGGGAGACGCGTCGTTAATAACATCCTGATAGGCAGTCAGCAGCTCCAGCCTGTTTTTGCTTAGGTTCACAGCCATGCCGACGTCCTCTCGAGCATCCAGCAGACTGCGGTCACGCCACTGACAGACTGCGAGCAGCTAGATTTGGGAAGGAGCTGATATTTGAGCGAAACAAAGAAGATGCGAGTCTGAACGCCAACCTACGAGCTCCCCGGTCCTAGCGCTACTACAGCGCGCTACTCCCACTCCACTGCCATTTAAAAATAAGTTAGTTCTTTATTAAGTAGGCCTAATCTAATGACAATAAACCCGAAAATAGATCAAGATAAATACAGTACAATCACTTTTCCACGTAAGGTTCCGTTTCATTAATTACCATAAAATATAAAAAGTGACATACTGCTCAACGGATGCTACCGTTGCTTATTTCCTAGCATTTTTAGTAAAAGTACAAGGATTACAACTAAATGCATGCAAATGAGTAAAGGCTGCAAATGAAGAGAGACTGCAGAAATATACCTTATGCTTTGTTTCTTTTTGAATAATCCATTGCACTTGCAGTAGCTTATTTATGTTTCGGTAACAGTTAATATGTAACCATTCGTTTGACTTTCAGCACATTTAGCAGTAATGCAACTGCGTTGCACGTATATTTCATTTTCACAGAATTTCTTCTTCCTTTTCAGAAGAACCTTCCTCGAGGGTACGAAAGTAGTACATTAGGGACGTGGATATGCAACTCGGTCGCACGCGCAATTCCAGTTCCTTAATCGGTAAACTATGAAGTTTAGCAAATATCTACCAGTTCATGCACATAGTTAACAGTAAACGTATAACTATGCTGGAGAATTCGTATTTCCACATAAATGAAGAATTTATTATTATTTCAGTAATACTACCTAAGCTCCACGCCGTGTGCTTAAAACTTAAGAAAACAAGCATATGGATAATTTTCAATAAAAACCAAAACAACTGCTGTGTGAAGAGCTGGTAGAAGATAGATGCGAAACGTCTTCGGTGGACAATGCTGATGAAAATATGAGAAAAACTTCCATTTTCACCACATACATGCTGTATGAAAGATGGTGAAGCTGAACACGAATCCTGTGAAAATATGTGCCTGCAAGATGCTGATTTCTAAGTGTTTGAAATGCCCTTAGAACCCAGTTATAAAGAATCATGCCGAAAGTATGTGACCCCTGTCTGTTCCTGGATCAGCCTCAAACCTTTGCTGTGCATGAGGTTTAGGAGTTTCTGAATTAGAAGGCATATTAAGTTTCAGAAGAATAAAGCCTGACCCAGGTTAGCTGACCATTCGTGTAGAAAAAAATTCAAAGTGATGAAGTGCACAGACCATTACACATACCTACTGCCACAGGCAGCCAGCACAGAAAGGGGGGGGGGGGCATTTACACAAATGTTACGAATACGTTACCTTATGCAACCAAGGAACCAACAACAGCTAAGGTCCATAGGACTTGATGCCCAAGGAAGACACTATATTTCCACTAGCTATACATTCCATGTCTCAGTTCCAAACACTCTGTCCATGTAGGTGTAGAACAGAGGGATGTTGTGAGCGAGAGTCAGAATGCTCTCACTTCCACTCCTCTGTCATTGTTTAGACTGGAAGTCAGAGCCAGCTCCGGAAATCTTCCAGTAATTCTGGTCTGCAGACCACAGAGGAATTCCCATCTCCTGCATGTACAGACGTCTGCACGATGACTGCAGGTTAAACTACTCTCATTCACACTGGTCATTCCAGCCCTGCAATACCAGTATAACAGTATAGAGCACACAATAAGAGAATACCATCAATTATAAATGCTCCGTTTTACCGTCATAAATTGTAATAAATAGGGGCACTGACAGTACATCTTGTATTCAATATCCATAACTTAAAAAGATCAGGCACTCTTAAAATCATTTGAGGCCAGTAACACTAGCCGAAACAACGATCTGAACAACAGCTTTAGACACTGATGGCTCATATTCCAAATACGTAAGTCTATACAAACTGCTAAGACGTCAATCGTGTAAGGAGCAAAAGCGGACTAATGCAGAGCCACAGAACAAAGTGTTGTTCCTTGCGACATCTAGCGGTCGCAACTGGGGGTTTTTTTTTGGACGCCGCCTCAAATTAGGGCAGTACAATTTTATGATAAAATACGTAGTGTTGAAAGACCAGGCAAAATACAAGAAATACAACAGACACACAGAAATCAGACGTACATGGTATTGTCATGGCACAGAGAAACCCCAAGATGTAGGAACTTACCGAAGAATATACGTTATATAGTAAGTTCAGAATGCTTTAATCTGTTTAAGTGAAAACAGCAAATTCGACGGTTACGGAAAAGCCGCAAAATCATCACTGGAAAAGATTTCAGTTTTAAAAAAATACCTTTCCATTTAGCATGGAATGTTCCGTACTAATTCCCACAATATTAAGCCCTGGAAATATTACATCATGGTTCTCCTCAAGTTAAATAAATGGCCTTAGGGAGGAAAAAACACTCTGAACAATAATCGAGACCATTCTTTTAATGCATTAAAACTGAAGGATTTTTTTAAACAGGATCCAAAGATTCAAGTGCACAAATAATTGTACATATGGGAAAATATCTAAATCATTTAGCGTATATTAAATAAATATTTAAAGTATTTAACGAAAGTACAGATGAAAACAACCCAGTTCTGAAGAATTGCAGAACATGGTAAGAAATGACAAAACGAACTGCAAATAACGTTATCTGTCCATTCGTCTTTCAAATGCTTGCCGTGGTCAGAGTTACGGAAGTTGCCTTACGGCAGACGGCAGGGGTCAATTCGGAATGAGAAACCAGTCGCAATCACAGGGCATATACATGCACACAGTCAAACACACAATCAGCCGTATGGTCAATTTAAAGATGCCAATTAGCCAAACTCCATGAACTGCAAAGGAAACATAGATGACAAGGAACATGCAGAAAAGTCATACACACGCAGTGCAGAGTTGGCATTCCCAAACCCCCCAGTCCTGGAGGTGTCAGGCGACACCCCCACATATAACATGCTATATTCATTTTGGAGGTGAGGACGCTGAGATTATTTTTGGTAGAGATGCTGCCCCACTCTCATCCATCACTGGGTTGAAGCACACAAATTAATCCAATCACCATGTCCACCTAAGATAATAGTGGTTTATTCAAGTGGAGAGGAACCAGTCAGAGCTAAGCACTGCCCAGAAATTAAATAGCCAACTACCTACTAAGTTTTAGACAAAAATAACCCCCCAAAACTATAGTCTCAAAAATCATGGAATCTTATTCACTTTCTTAGAGAGCTATACTACCATACAATCACAGACCTTGGTCCTGGCTTTACGATCGCTCCTTAACTATTTACAGATAATGCATTTGGAGCTCCAGAGAAGATATTATGTATTATGTATATGACACTGTAGTAAAATACAGTAGTTGAGCAACCACCTGATCATAGAGCTATGGCAACAGAGTATTACAGTGACAGGTATTTCCATGCTGAATGGACAATGTCAGCATGTATAGTACTGAACAAAAGTGATTGTGTCTTTCAATATTTATAAACAGTCCAGGTAATCGCTTTACACTCATTGGCATATATAAAGAAAATCAAAAGACTTTTAATGAAACCTAGAGTTCTTACTGTAACTCATATGAATAAATCATATTAAATCAAGTCATGGTCATACTGGCATTGAACCACGTTAAAACACTTCATTGCACAGGTAGCATTTCACATAAAATTTTTTCTTTTTCGTTCGTGTATTAGAAACATGGCCCCATAAGAGTATATGCATTTCAACAATAGTCTGCCTGAACAGGAAAAGTACTGTCCACTATCGGGATCACTGAGCGTTCGCCGTTATCCGCCTCGCCGGCGCTGCAGAACCTCCCATCTCACCAGATGCCTTGGGACAACAGACTACTGGTCTACAGACATGTGGAGTGATACATCCATTCATTTCCAAAGTCAGTGTTCCAGTCTGATACCTGAAGTAAGACTGAAGGAGTAGCGGGATCTAAGCGTCCGCCCCCCACAGCCTTTGCCAGGCTCTTGGTCCTCTTGCACATTACCTGTCTCTCCTCAGATCATCCATAGTCTACATGTTTACCTGAGCAGGAAGTTCACAGGAATTTGAGCAGCTTCCCAAAGTGGAATCTTCTTTAACCACAGCAAGCAAAGGATGGACATCCGCTTCAAAAGGATCCGGGCCACAAGTGGCACCTTCTTGCTGGGTGACGTGACCATGGAGCAATTCCTTGGCCTGTCGTGGTAAGCATAGGTCCGTGGGCGTCTCCTGGGCCAAGGCCAACACAAGGCAGCCATTGGTGTTTGGAACTAGGCCCGAATCCTTGACAGACTCCTTCTTGAAGTTGACCTTGGGTTCACAGGGAGGATCATCGGTATTCTGGCAGGTATCAAAGACTTCTGACCTAAGGTCAACGGCAGGTTTCTTGGAAGCCGAGCGCATGCTGAGATTAAGGGGATACATCTGCTCCTGCAAGCCAGGGTGAGGGCTGGGACTCTGGCAGGCGTCACTCAGGTCCTGTGCAAGGACTTCTGACAGCTTCTTCCCGAACGAGCTGAGCTGTGAGGAACCAGGGGGCATGTGCATCAGATGCCGCACCTGAAGGCTACAGTCTATGTCCAAAGGGAGGACCTTGAGCGGCTTGGGAAGCTTGCAGAAACTGTCCAGGGTCACGCAGTCTGCATGACACTTCCGAGTGCCATCATTTGCTGGAGATCCAGGAAGCCTCTCCCACTTGAGGCCGTTCTGACTCTCGCCAGCCTTATTTGTGAGGCAAAAAAGTTCAGCGGGGCTGTGGGGGCATACAGCAGGTCCCTGAGGGGCCGAGACAGCGGAGGAGTTTAGACCCAAGCGAGTTTTGAGGTGATCAAGTGGAGATACTTTTGACAGGCCAATGTCAGACAGAGATCCATTGTCATGTACCAAGCGTGAGGTGGGCAGCGGGGAAGCATACTTCCAATTTGCAGGCTCCATGTTCACTCTTGGATCCGCTGTTGTAATCGGAGGTCCCGAAGGGAAGGGGGTAAGACCCTGTATCAATGGGGAATCCTGGGGGGCAAAGCCCTGCACCACCGCAGAACTCGAGCTGCTTTTCAGATCTACTGAGGAGATCCCTTCGACTTCAGGGGCGCTGCTGGTACAGTGCTTCTGGCTAACAGTTGGCGGAAGCTCTCTGGCAGATGAGTGGGTCTCTGGGCTCTTCTGAGGGGGGGCTGAAACCGCAGCATTAGTGTGGCTCCTGCCTCGGGGCCGTCCTCTTCTCTGCGAGGCGGCAGTGCCTCTTTGTTTCACTTCACCTTCCTGTCAGGGTATGGGGGGGGGGGCACATGTGACAGCAACCCACCCTTCAGTTACACAAGGCTTTTCAACATTCAGTTTCATAATTTTGATCAGCTCACGATATATACTGATGCCATGGTGGTCAATGAGACAGACATTGGGTTGTAAACAGACTAGAATCCCCTGTAGCCTGCATAGCCAACAGCAAAATAAAGGTACACTATGCAACTAAAATCATTACCATATTGCTCACTCCAATACTTTTGATTGTCCTTGTTGACAGGACAACCAGCCATACAATTTACATTATTGTTGTCAGTACAGGGACAAAAAATCAGTTTTGCAAGCCATGTTTTTATACAAATAAAAAGGCGGATGCTTGTAGAAATGCTAGATTTTTACGTGCAAGATCAAAGAGAAGAGAAAAATGCAGAAAGGGAGGCTGAACCTATACGTTTTTCCATCAACCTTGACAAATTGTCCTAAAATTCAGTTCATTTTTCCTAGTTAAGGTTATTTAAAACCATAGCTGTATTAATCACTCAAACAACTGATTCATTTTTATGACAAGAATAAGTACACCAACATAAAATCAAGTCTAGACTATTATTTATTTTATTTTTTTCAGTTACTGGCTCCTGCTTATCCTGGACACAAATAAACGTTTCTACAGCAGTAACGGGCCTCCTCTTGTACTTCCTCTTGCATTCTTATATTACTCAGTGAGCTGTGTATTAGTTAAATATCTTCACCCGAATGTGCTGCTGCTTGAACTTTTGCATCCGCTCCGAAATAGGCCTCAGGGCTCATGTCTGTCTGACCATGACTAATAATAAACGGTGACATTCACGCAGATCAGGAAAGTGATACGCAAGAAAGGCAGCTTTTGTTATTCTGTAAGCATTCGGTTGGCGTCTTACCGAAGAAGCCCCTTTCTTGACCTTTAGCCTGGCCTGCGCCCCTCTTCCCCGAGTCACATCCACCGCCAAGCCGGCTGCAGCGAGTACCTGAGGCTTGTCTGAACGCGACCCCTTCATCTGCTGCTCGTAAGGCAGGATCAGCCTGGGGTAAGATGGGGAGAGCAGCACGAGATCAGCAAAGGTTCCTGCACGGCAGTCCGATCCATAGTAACACTACAGCAGTCTGCCCGTATCCGTGGTTTCAGTAGCCATGGTTTCAGTTATCTGTGGTTTACCACCATCCAAAAAAAAACTAAACACACTGAAACATGTGTAAGTGTGTTTTTTCAGTGTACCTTTCTCCTTTGAGCAGTACAAAGAGCATGAATGTCCACCATCCCTTGATACATGATATTTTTTCATTGCTCTGTTGTCTCTTGAGAATTTGGCTATAACACCATAATTCCTCATTCAACAGAGTGCCACAATACAGTTCTGCATAATAATGTTCAATGTAATTTATTATTACGATATTTAATGTTGATAATGACTTACTGTGTGTAAATCATCATATGAAAAGTACACAAAAATCACGTTATACGTGTGACCCACAGTAGGCCTTGGAAGGTATCATCCGAGGATACGGAGGGACCTACTGTATACTATATGTTTCTTTTTAAATGTCCCTTTAAGCAGCAGCCCCCAGACTCACTTTTCGTAGTGCCTTCTCGTACACGTGGCTGCACTAGTACTTCCTGGATTTCCACCAAGCTCATTGTAAACTTTCTTCCACAGCCTCTGCGATGTCACCTACATAAGGAAATGGAACAATTACTTACATGGCCATATCAGAAATGGCAATATATATGTATATACGTAATACATAGATACATACATATTATACATATAAATGTATATGTGTACACACACCAGCATAAATATCCGGGAGGCTGTGCAGTTAGTCGTCACTTACAAACTGTGGTCACTACTCACCCTCTCATATCCTCCCAGTCTTTTGACAACGGAAAACAAAAGAAAGAGGTCAACTGTGGATAAAAATGTACACATAAGATTCAGCAACCTTTAAAAGTTTAATTTTGAAATAAAAACTTTTTTTTTTTTTGAAAGGTCCAGAAAAGCAGAAGACATACATACTCACGACAGCATGTAAAATAAGAAAACATACCACAAAGTTTCTTTTTTTTTTTGCTTTCCATTTATCAACAGCATGAAAAGTAGAAAATTAGTTCCAAAATTCCCGTTTTGGAACAGAAAAGCAATTACCAAGATTAAAAGATAAAAACGAGGCCATCAAGCGCAGCGAGAAGATGCAAATATCCAACAATGAATGCGAGCATTGTGGTAAAAACCAAATGAGACAGATCAGGAAATGCAGCTGTGAAAATCAGCCCAGGGAAGGAGGAGGTCGTCCCTCAGGTCAGGATGACGGCACCTTCTGCCCTGCAGACTCACCCTTTTTGAAGCCCAGCTTTGGTACTTTGCTGATGGGGGATCCTCTTCGTTCCATGAAGAGGTAGAGGCGGTCCAGGAAGTTCTGCTCCTCAGGGCGGGGAAGCCAGCGGTGCTCCCCGGGGATCTCAGCACCGCCCATCACATTCTCCTAAAGGACGGCATCAGGGAGCAACACTGAGCACAGCCAGCCCCACCAGGAAATTTCACTGAAACCAGTAGCGGACCTCAAAAACTATTTACTGGTCTACAGTATCTCACCATTAGACTTCTCAAACAGCCTGAGTGTAGACTATTCTGAATTGCCTGGCAAATCCCCATCGGGCCATTATCACAACAGCAACGAGACAATTCTTCAGTCGAACCAACAGACCAGTTCAAGATCCCATCCACAAGCCTTTGAAAAGCTTTCCTGGGATGTTAGGAATTCAGTCCTGCCTATAGCTCTTTGCTGAGAGCAGTTCACTGTTATGTCAAACAGCTTAGTCAGTCTAGAGAGAGCCTTCCTTCTGAGCTACACAGAACTGCAGAGCTCCACAGCACAAAAAAAATCTCTGGTATCTCAACAGCCCAGTCTTTTCAGGGTTTCCGAGAAGACAGCAAGCCTGAACTTACCTTCGCCTCTATCCAAGACCTCGACTGACTGTAGTACGCTGCCTCTTTTCCATCCAAACTTTTTCGTTTGCGAGGTCTTCCCTTCAAACTAAGAGACAGGAAGCCTGCATGGGAGGGAAAAAACCCACATATTCATGAAATGTAACAATTAAAACATTTTTGAAGTTTCGTGGAGTATCACTGCAGAGTGATGGTCGGGAAGGAGGCGTATGAAGAGAGGACCACGACTGATGGAACCGAATTCAGGAAGCAGCTGATGCAATACAGACCTGCTCCTGAAGTTGAGTTTTATAAGGTTCTACTAAGCTATTTTAAAACATTTTATTTATTCACATGAAATCACTGGTTTGGAGAAATCCTTTAATATGGCTACATCAATCACGTACTGAAACTAAGGACTGAGAACAAAACTGTAGTCATGAACTGCATAATGATTATTCGGTCAAAGACACACCACATATACAATGGTGGTCCCAAAACATTATCATCAAGCTGAAAAATTCCTATTGTTCTTCCGGACCTGACAGGAGCAGCATGTGGACCTCTCAAGCACACTCCCATAATAAAACTACTTTAAAAAAAAATAAAAATAGGACATACCCAAAATAAAATATTTTTTTCTCTTGAAGCACTTGCACTAAATTTAAAAACATGGTCTGGTTTAAATCCTGACAGTCACGAAATGTTAAAAGATCACAAACCACTTTCTAAAAGAGTTTTCATCCATATAGAAAAACTAAAGTTTTTGCGGTGCCATAAATTATTTTGAGGCTTGTTATTAAAAACATTGTGTTTAACCCGGCCACGTTTCTTCCCCCAAAGTTAGTGACCTGCATTTGCTTTTAGGCTCTATGCGATCGGTGAGGCGATCACTTTGTCGGTTTTGAATTCCCCTAGCCCATCCAGTTGCTCCAGCCTTGAAAATTGTAAATAAATGTGTAAATGTATCTTTTTTTTCTTCTACATTCCAATTATGGCCTAATATCCTATTTTTAGATAGCAATTCCGCATGCATGTGCCTTACTATCCTTGTAATGTTAATCGTCGTTCCAATTTATTTATTGTCTATTTATTATATCCTTTTTTTCCATGTCTCAGCCACGTACTGCAGTTGATTGTATCATTTGTTTAAGGCTACATGCCACTGTCCTTTTTTCGTAATGTTAATGGTCATTTCTTTTCATTTACTACTTGAAGGCTACGTTCCATTGCTGTTGTATTTCTTAATCATTTTCAAACGTTTTAAATGTCTCATTTATTTGTGGATATTTCTCCAATTCGTAACACTACAGAGCCCCTAAGAGGTCAGGGTTGGAAAACATTATTTATTTATTTTTTTATAGTTTTGCGATCCTTTGCAATACTTTTGTTTTCCCTCACAACAATTTTGCGATTTCACTGCACTTGCCCACTTGCTATTTGTGGCAATGTGATGGCAAGGATTAACCTAAATAAAACAGTCATGTCCCGTAAAGTGAGCTTTAAGCATTAAAATGAGGGTCAATGTACACCATGCAACTTTAATATTATGTGTTGTTACACATTCATTAATAATTGCACTGTGTCCGTTCACTGCCAGTGACTTTAAGCAAGTCAGATGGGCTATTGATTGTGAAGTGGACACAGAGACACTGACTTCACTGGACCTGCCTATCGCTTAGATTTATACTTTTTAGTACATTAATTCTCTCTTTTGTACTTTAAACAGACACAGTAGAGTTATTATTAGGAAAAGTATTGCAAGGGAACTCAAAACTATTAAAAAAATTATTTTCGTCTTAGGAACTCTGTATACCGCAGCTGATCTGTAGAAAAAAAAAATCACAAATGTATCACTATCCACAAATACGTATTTTTAGTTGTTTTGTGTAAAATCATATCCACAAAAATACGAAGCGATTTGAAAAGGGTTTTACATATTTGTGGAGCACTTCCCATCTGTTTCTGGATTACACGACATTTCTGACTTCACTCCTATTTACAGATTTTTGCCCTATTTGTACAGCAGCTGATCTGTAGAAAAAAATACACAAATGTCAGGTGCAGTAATGATATATATTACTATCAGGATACGAGATGACTTATATTGGGATATGAGATTTTGGTCATATCGCACAACCCTGAATTCAGTTTTCAGCTCAAGATCTAGTCACCAATCCTCTGAGACAGATAATTGACAAGAAGACAGACGTACAGACAGCGCCAAGATGTCATGGTGGCTGAAAATGCATCGTTTCACATCGGTCTGTTTGTCGCAGTACTGTTGTAGCCTCCTAGGCATGGGACGATCATTCGACATAATCAACGATGTCGATTATAAAAATGCGTTGACGTGGAATTTTAGTGTAGATGCGTTGTGTAAAACTATGTAAATGTTTTGTAACTGCAATGTGATAAGGTAACGTATTGTAAGGGAAAGTACTTTATCCCCTTTGGAACACGTTAAGGCTGTCCTTTTAAGAATCGCACAATAAAACATTCTGCTAATAACTGAACTTTACTGTCCACCCGATGATTTCTTCGCCACTCGAGAGCTACAATATTTTATTTATTGGACCTGCGGCATATTTTTCATTTGCAATACAAAGTTATTCCGCTAATAAGCTGGCTAGTTGTTTCACTGCTGGCACCGTTAAAACTATATCAATTATAGGCTTAATTCCAATATAGGTTTTGTCTAATATTGCCGATGCCAGCAGTGCCGCACTATTTTGTAAGCCATGCACTGGCCAATCATCTAGCACTTCTCTCATAAATATTAATGAGACATCTCCTACCCTACACCCTGCAAAAAGGAAATTTGGCGCCCGCCCCACCGAGGCAAAATGACTGCATCTACCAGAAGAGCTCCAGAGGCTCGCACGTGGTCTTCCAAAGTTTGGGAGTATTTCAGTCATGACACCTTTTCTGCACGTCTACTGTAGCTGACGTTAATGACGCCGTTTCAGCCGTTTTATATTTTCTGTTTACTTATTCTGTCATGTAAGAGTGAGACAAATTATTGTTTACAAGTACTCTTGCACACTGTAGCCTAAATCGTTCCTTGTTCACTGAAGTAACCTTAACTATAAGCTACCTTTGCTAGTGTTTGTTAGAAACATGTTTCTCTAGTTATGAAATCATTCCATGTTTTAGCATCTATTTCAATATTAAAGTCAAATTGGTGCACTGAAGTAATTAAGTAAAAACTATTGCAGTGATTATTAACTCCAGTCTAACATAGAAATCCGATTGAATCTCAAAATTTGCCTGTTTTGTTAATAATTGTCTAATGTTTAAGAAATGTTTTAATAAATTGAAATATTAATGAGAATTTCAGATTTGTGTTTGGGGGGGGGGGTGAATTCTTGTATTAAATGACTAACTTGAAAATAACTGCTTATCAATAAATTTATCATCAGATCAATCGAAAAATTAGTTGTTAGATTAGTCGAATAATTGAAAAAATAATCGCTATATTAATCGTTTAAAGAATAATCGTTTGGAACAGCACTACTCCGAACACACAGGAATTATGTGATAGGTGCTTGCTGGTGTGTTCTGTCATTATAATAATAGTGTTAAGTAGCACACTTGTATCTGGGCATTCAATGAAGGCTCGACGTGACCACATTCATGCCTGGTCACCTCCTCGACAGCACGTACCATATGTTTGGAATATGCTATTTGCCTGATGTAAATGTAGTGCTGTATCACAAATCTTGAGTCAATAAGTAAAACACTTATTTACTTATCATCCATAACAGCTGCAAACGGTCATGATAAATTTTCATATTACCAACCACTAGCTCCACCTGGCTAATAGACAAAACCCTTGGAAGACTAAGACACAACCCTGAAAGATGTAACTGGTTTTTAAATTGATCAGCCAAAATAGACTTTTATTACAAAAATGTCAAGGATACAAACACAAAGCTTAGCGGAACTACTCACTGTTAATTATTTTAAGAACATATTGAAATCATAAAATATCTTTAGCAAATATGCTCAGATAGATGCTTAAAATGGCATAAATCACATACTGATATTAACATTAAAAATAACTATTAATCACCCATTAGACATATAGATTTTTCTTATGCTAGTCTTGAACTTGAACATGTATATCAATTTTTTTTTCCACATATTCAAAAAAAAAAAAAAGTTAGATTTCCTAACATTTTCAGTGCGACTTTATTCCTGTTAAAATTCGACTACTTTAGGTCTCTAACAAAATTACTTAAACTGAAAGGGTGCTGAGAGTGACCATTCCAAGGGGGGGGGGGTAAATTCAGTTACAAATCATGATTATTGGGACAGATTTTTAAACATCAATTTAAACATAGGTCACCATAATTATGCTGTTCACATTTGGTACTGCCCCCTATCTGGCCAGTTGCACACACTTAATTTAATATATTGGGAAACCAAAATGTTCCCAAACTACCAATTTAAGCGACATGGGAGGGTCTTCGATGTCTCCAGCACCAGCTGTAACCAACTCACAAAGCCACTTAGCGTTACCGTTCCTGTGTTCCGCATCTACTTGTGAATTTAGGTTTCGCCAATGTCAAGAAATGTATTCATTCATTTCACCTTGCGTTCCAAACTGAAAATTACGCAACCATGAGGCATGAGAAATATGTTTACCGGTACTGCCCTTTCCTTTAAATTAAATGTAAACTGGAAATGCTCTCTGGCAAAAACTATTAAAACATCAAGATATGACACCGAATTGGGAGCTGGGATCTCTCTGCCGATTCCCACGTCTGTTCCGACGTTCGACCTACCTTGATGCATCCAGAAGCTGGCACTGCTTTCCAGAGCAGGGTGGTTGAAAGTGTCCCTGCAGTAGAAAACCCAGGTATTTCGGTGGCCCAGGCACGTTCCTCCAAGGGCCAGGAGATGGGGATCCTGCAGGGAGGTGCAGCCCTCTGCGTTCTGCATGCGCCTCCTTAGCGAGCGAAACCGGCAGTACTGGGGGTAACTCAGGACCTTCACACACTGACGGTCCACAGGCGACCGAGCTGAAGAGAGAGAGATCAGAGTCAGGGGTCCGCTTGTACTGAGCCAGAGTGACATGCAAAGCCAATGCACAGACACCCTGTGAGTCAGCCTCACACTTATTTCTGGCTCCATCCATAACAGATGTCACACAGATGTGCGTCTCTGGGACTGTCCCATTACAGCGTTTGTCACCCAGGCTGTTCCTCTTCCAGCCGGGTGACTCTGGACATGTCCACTTCACGAGGTCCTCCAGACGGATCACCATCTTCTTTGAGACTGCCAATACTTCTTCCTTTAGAAAGCAGGCAAGGCAGATAAAGCCATTCCCTCAAGATAAACATAACAGCAGCCCTGTGAACTGGGAAACGCTTTTTATACTGTCGTCAAATTATTTTTGTCTATTATTCCATGATTAGTCATTCTGCTAATTATTATTATTTACTTATTCCAGCTTTAAATGTACTTTTAAGAAGTTTAAAGAAAGCCCGGCTCTCCTTTTACAGCAATACAATTTCTTCTGGGCTCTTAATTACACCAATTTTTTACTACAATAAAACAATAAAGCACTACAAAAGACTTTCGCAACTTTATTGCCTAATGAGTAGGTTCATGCATAGCCCTGGGATGGAAAACAAATCAAATAAAAACAAAGAAACAGAAAACCACAACTGCCCCCCTTCCCTTACGTCAACAGAGTAAATTAAATCGGACCCTGTAAGATGGCCAGTTTGCCAGAAATAACCAGAACATGAGATGGTGACACTATCAGGTCACATAGTACATTTTCAATTAAAAAGGTGTCAGTATTAAAATAAGCTACAGGACTACAGACACTAAGCTGTCATAAGATGAGTTGAGCAAACAATGGAATCACAAACCCCCCAGAGGGACAGATCATTTTGTAAGACCACTACCCCTTTTGCCATTTCCACACCCACCTCCCCATGTTCTCCAGTCCTGCCTTTCGGAGTGTCTTCGGGCAGGAAGTACAGCCTGGAACTAGACAGGAGGTGGCGCTGTGCCTGGTCCTCCCACAAAAGGGTGAGCTCCGCTATGCACACAGGATCCTGGGGTCCGAATCGGACAAAGAAGAACTGGCCCAAACTCCACACGCTTGGCTGCAGGCCTGCCTCAGCTTGGTGGCTAAAGGACTTATAAAAGGCAAAGGACCCTCTCAAGCAATATGGGGTCCCCAGCCACTGTCCAAAAAACACACGTCAATCAGAGTTAGGAGCCACAATTACTATTATAACCACCATAGGTATTAGTACAGGCAGTCTCCGGGTTAAGAACGTCGACTTACAGGCAACTCATACTTACGAACATACTGCTGTAACGTCTATTATAGCAAAAATTTGAGTTAAATACAAAGGCTCGTACTAATGAATACACGCGCTACATTGCGACAGTCACAAAAACACTGTATGGCTTCAGCTGTTCGTTGACTTAAAGGTACAGCACAGCACAGTATGTGGTTACTTTTACTGCTGTATAATTATTGTTAATTATTATGTACTGTATCATTTCTCCGACTTCCTACAAATTCAACTTTAATACAGACTAAGGGAACGGATCTTGTTTGTAACCAGAGGGTTGCCTGTGGTGTAATTCCACTGCTACATAGATAGCAGAATGTTAATAATGTCACACTAGGTCATTTATACATCTAGATAATCCAACCATTTGAAAAAACAGACATAAGCCCTGGATATGTGCGTTACCTGCTGCTACTGAACAGGCGTCACGCTAAGAAAAAACAGGTCCTTCAAAATTACATAAAAGTTATTCAACTTACGGGCTGAAATAATTACTGAAATGAAAACAACTGCCACCACTAAAATGGATCACGACTTGTCTAACTGCCAGAGGCAGAAACGTTCCCAGATGTGAATTATGGAACAAGCCTAAACTAAATCAGTAGCTGACGATTTCCGTGGAAAACAATGACATATTAAGATGGTTTATTGAATTCTTAAGTATGATAGCATTATTAGAAATCTGTTTCTGCACTGTCCAGTAGCAGTTATTTCATGTGTGTTACAATTCCCAAAACTGCAAATAATTAACTCCTTATTACCACTTATTAACAAGTGATACAATGAAGATCTGAAAGGTAGAATTAATATCAGCCTGGTTCTGTGTGTAATGAGAAGCTTCTGCCTGATATTACATGTAAACACAGGATCCCATTTTACTTCAGCATTTAAACCCATTAGGTATCTGCAGGTTTAAAGAACTCATAGTTTCTCCAAAATTAAGTTATTTTCCTCCCACATCCCAGCCATGACCAGCCATTTTGTAATTTAAAAAAAAAATATTAAAATGATTTATTATTATTATTATTATTATTATTATTATTAGTAGTAGTAGTAGTAGTAGTAATAGTAGTAGTAAATATTATTCAAAACATTAACATACACAATCTGATCTTCGTCCACAATAAACACTGCACCAAGTCTTAGTACAAAAGTAGGGTTAAGATTTCTAACAAAGTATAACAATACCTAACTAGCATAACCGAATATTTGGATTTTGCAATATCTGTATAACAAGGCCACCCTAATAAATGGCGTTCTAATTATTTCTGAATTTCAGTTTGATACAGTTACGCTACATAGGTTTATACAAAACATACATTGTGTAAAAATATATTCACGGTCAAAAATCCAAAATATCGTCAATTTGTTTTGTAAGAAACTAACAGCGAAGTTACCATTTGTCTATTCTGGCCTAAAGCCGAATTGATATTACGTAGAATACTGTTTCGGTTTTAACATTCCTTCCTATTGCGTTACAATAACGTAGGTCTGAAAAAGAAGAAGAAAAAAATCCAAGACGGCCATTTATGTGATAAGTCAAATGACTGATCTACGATCACCGTCAAAATATCCAATAATTCAGTTGGAGTAACACGCTTTCTGTCGCGCAACTTCAAACTTATTCTGCGAGAGAAGTTTATGCCAAGAGAGTCGCGTCGGTTCTTTCTTTAAAATTAAAATGCAAATGCAAAAACGAAAAACAAAGATGTGTGAGTGGGTGGAGAAATATGCCTTCAACAGTATATAAAAATATTTAACCATTAACCAAAAACACCGGAATACACGCTTAATTTCAACATAAAGACAAATGAAGCCATTTCCTATTGTCAAAATTACGTGTAACAGTAGTTTTGGATACATTCTTCGCTAAATTCATTTTAAACAAGCAGATACTACATTTACAAATGTTACCAACAATCAATCCGAAATACAACAAAACTTTATAAAGGGTACAAAACTATAAACAATACAGAGAAATTACATTTTCTTGTTCGCTCTTCGCTAACTGTTCGAATGTAATGCTGCTGTTCTCGTTTATCGGAGTTATTTCATATTAATACAGAGTTAGTACTTCACCTGGATCGCGTTCTGCTCCATTGCTGGCAAACATTCCCCGCTGACCCCAGCGGCTCCTATCGAGTTACACAGCCGGGTCCTCAGTCCGCACCGGCACATCCACCGGCGGCCGCGGGACAGGCGCCTCCCTCCTCCTGTGAACGCAAGACATGACATCGCCTAGGTGTGGCTAAACCTAATTCATTGTAAAAAGTTTTTGTATTATCATTATTTCGACGTAGGCCCTACCTTTTGAAATACTTTCTTTTAAAGCATACGTCGTATATCACAATCACAAAGTTTTAAACAATACCGACGGCATATCTAATGCAATAACGGGAAGAATGGACTTTTATGCTCGAAAACGACATTGTTCCCTTAATATCGAACGTCCTTTAAGAAATGTTAACTGGGTTTATCACTGGTTTTGGATTTCCCGTTCAGTGTCCTTCTTACAAACAGCATAGATATATACCAATACGTTGGCTTTGATATATAAATGCATGGGGAGGGGGCTGCTATTGCGAGACGGTAACTTTGCAATTCAGCTCACGTGCCTTCGGCAGCCAACTGTGATGTTGGGGGTGTTCGGCTGCTGGAGCAACGTCCTATATCTGTTATTCTCAGGTAGGGGGGGGACATTATATACGTGTCACTACCAGGGACGCAAAAAATGCGGAGAAATGAAACCTCCACGAAAACAAATAATTGATCAGTATGAATCAAAATCACATCTGGGTTTATGTGCAATAATAATGGCGCATTTGAGTATTTCCTATCAGCATTTGATTACCTCGGCCTGTGTCGGAGCTCGAAGAGAGAAAAGCAGACGATGACATATTTTGCGTGACGGGTAGCCCGGTCATTCACTCTTGAATAAAATATTTTTTACTTGCCGTAAATTTACTAAATGATCATGCCTTAGTTTATACAGTGATAATTTGTAATTTTGTCAAAATTTGAATTAAATCAAAGGTATCATGTTTAAATATCCTTTAATTATCATCTATTTTTAAGCTGGACTAGTTATTATTATTATTGTTTGTTGTTATATTCTTAAAATCAATAACTTTTTCCATACATCAGTTTGAGGGATGCGTTTGAAACAGCCATATTTATTAAAAGGTTAACAAAGTTTATGTTAAATTTACAATGAGCACCACACATAAAATGTACGAAATTACTTATTTTAGTATAATAATGAAGATTTCCTGTAAATGACTGTAGAGCCAGAACTGACGTGAGCTTTTAAATTCTCTGCACACCAGATATTGGACACTATTCTATTGCACAATGGCTGACACAATGCAAGTTTGTGCTTCATTACTTGACGAATGCCTATGGCAACCAGTTTGCTGCCGGCTGCAGTATTGCTGTCCATTAGGGGGCGCTCTTTCTGTAATGTGAGGGCTGACGTACTGCCCAGCGGGGTTTCTGTATCTTGACTGGGGAATCCCTCTCTATTCTGGTTATTATTATTTTATTATTTATTATTATTTAGTTTTCTCATAAGAATATGAGAAGATGATACTGATTAAAGTTTTTTGTTTATTTTTTTTTTCTTTTCTTATTTGTTCGTCTTACAATTAAAAGTTAAAACATTGAAATTGATAGTAATTGTTTCAATGTCATGAAGAAATCACAAAAGCTTTTTGTATTTTTGCATATAGTAAATATAAACATATAGTATCAAGGTATAAAGAGTTCCTGTTTATTGAGTGGCTGTATTTTTTGTAAGAGGATGAAGGTCCAAATCTTTAGAGTCCTGGTGCTCCCTGATTTTCTGTATGGCTGTGAGACATTGACGCTGTCTCCAGTGAGCTGAGACAAAACTGGACTCCTTCGGTACCACTCAACCCCTGAAAGTCCCCTATTCCCTTCCTCCCCCTTACAGGCAGCTCTGCCTGTAGTAGTTTATGTTTTGCCCCCTATAATAATATAAACATTTAAATTGCCTGGGGAAAAAATAATATTTAAACATTAGAATTGATTCTTGAAACATTCAGATCGAAAGAATCACTATTTCAGTATGGACCTGCACGTCTTAGGTGTGTGCGTGTAAACACCGGCATACCCAAGGAAATCCACACGTACGGCGAACATGCAAAGCCTACAGCAGCATCTCCCACGCAGGTCTTCTGGGAACCAGCGTTTGCTCCGTGTTTTTGCTCCCTCCCAACTCCCTGCCCCACAGGCCAGTTTGCCTAATTTCAGGATTTCCTCGCCTGACTTGGACTTCACCAGCTTTCATGACCATTTGTTTCATCGACCTGCTTGCATGACCGTTTGTTCCCATAATCTTAAGCCTCATAAACTGACCAGAGTATCCTGGACTGGGGACAAGAACATTTACCTTAAATGACTGGCTTATTTTCAGCAGTAGGGGGCGCCGCTCCTGCATCCTGCAAAGTAACAGTCATAGCTGCTATGAAAAAGTGTTATTTGCGGGTGGAGACACGACATCAGCATCATATTATCTGAAATAGCACAGTTGCCGTTATTATTATTAATATTATTATTAATAATGATAAATCCAAGCTGGGTTTAATAGAATGCAGCTGCCTGACTCGTTTTCCACCTTCCCCAGTTCTCCCACATTACACCATTGTCACGCTTCCTCCACTGGCTTCCTGTAGCTGCCCACATCAGATTCAAAACACTGATGCTCGCCTACAAAGCCAAAAATGGAGCAGCACCCAACCTAAAAGGACGTATCACGCCCCGCACTGCACCACGCTCTCTCCGATCCTCCAGCAGCGCTCGGCTGGTCCCACCATCTCTCAAGGCACAAGGGAGACGTGCATCGAGACTCTTCTCTTCTGGCTCCTGTGTGGTGGGATGATCTTCCCCTAGATGTCCGAACAGCTGAGTCATTGTGTGCCTTCAAATGACGACTGAAAACCTACCTGCTTCGGAATTACTTGGATTAGCACTTCCAGGATTATACTCTAATTATTATTTTTTTATTGTCTTACTTAGCAATAGACTTTTTTAGACTTTTATTCACCGATGAGACTTCCAAGCACTTTTGTAAGTCGCTCTGGTTAAGGTCGTCTGCGAAATGCCGTAGATGTAAACGTAGCTGTGTGTAATTCATCCGGAGTCTCCTGAGGTCCCTGCCTAGTGGAACATGCCTGTAACATGTTCCTCTCAGTCTCTCAAAGGAGCAGCAGCTGATGTTCCTCTGCATCTCCATACTCCTCACGGATTTGCAAAGAGTGGAGCCCAGCTTGTAAAGAAACCTCACACTGGCCACTGGAACACAACCGATGGACACCTTTGGGGTGAATTAGGGCGGAGACTGCAAGCCAGGCTTTCTCGTCCAACATCAGTGCCTGACCTCACAAATGCTCTACTGGAAGAATGTTCAAAAATTCCTATAAACAGACTCCTAAACCTTGTGGACAGCCTTCCCAGAAGAGTTGAAGCTGTTATAGCTGCAAAGGGTGGGCCGGCTCCATATTAAAGCCTGTGTATTAAGGATGGGATGTCATTGAAGTTCATGTGTGTGTAAAGGCAGGTGTCCCAATACCTCTGGCAATATAGTGTACAATGAAAAGGAATCCAGGTCCAATACAAGTGGAATACAATATTAATTAAATGCAAGCACTATAAACAAAAATGGTGAGCTATATAACTAAAGAGAGACTGCTAGGTATAATAACGGTACCATATAATGTGCAAAAATGCTGAATAAATTATTTGCATTCAACAGAGTGAATTAAACAATTAATACTCTTAACACTCCAAAAAGTGCGGGAAGCAGCATGAGTCTAATGCTAGATGGGGGCTGTGTGGAGGGTCTCCCTCCAACAACTCAATTCAGCTCAATTCAATTTTATTTTTGTAGGGCGTTTTCACAAAATTACATTGTCTCAGAGCGCTTTACATCATCCCTGCCCAAAGCCCCCAGTGAGTAAGCCAGAGGGGACAGTGGCAAGGAAAAACTCCCTAGAAGGAAGAAACCCTGGAAGGAACCAGACCCAAAGGGGGAGCCCGTCCTCCAGGGGGCAGCAGAGGAAGCCCTAACCCTAACCAGACCAGGGTATATCCCAGTCCTATACTGCTCTGTGCTCTACGTTGAGTCCATGTGGACTGGACTCCAATCTGACGTCACCCCGACCAGGATGTGTAATTAGACATTTTCGCCAGCAGATGGCAGCCTTGTTTCCCATCTAAGTTGTGTGTCTGGGAAAAATTGTGGAGGTAAATCATTCTTACAAATATGCATACATGTACTCTGAATATTTTTGGTCCTGTTTTAAAATATGTAACCTACAATGATTATGTATTTATATATAACTTATATAACACATTTACGATGCATATTGTATTTGCCATTATGTGTTATAAGTAATATTAATTAAAATGACATTTGCCGCTCTGTTTCTTGCAGACGTCTGTATATCATTACACCAGAAGGGGGCGAAAGTGAAAGTACCTCAGTCCTGAACTGCAGTTTCAAAGAACGAAGAACCTCACAGCTACGAGGAGGAAGATCCCATTCTGTGAAGGAATCATTCAGTGAGCGAAATGAGCATTGCATTGCCTTTTCTCGAATAAACTGGTATTGTGATAGGCCAATGTTGTTCGCCTTTTTAAAGACGATATTTCAGTTTATGTTTCGTTTTCACAAAATGTTCTTTACGGTTTTTTCCGATAAGGATTAAATTACGTCACATGTTCTGTACATAGTGGTTTTAGCTCCTAAGTATTAAGGAATAGGGTATAAGAATTACATATCTGTTTAAAGTTTAAACCGAAATCTGAGACTTGGAAAATATCCCACGCGCATTTCCTTTCGACTATAAGCCAATATACATTTATATTGTCAAAATAATCATCTTACATTGGAGGAAATAGGTGTTACAAAGCCAATGTGTACAAAACCCATTCATAAGAACGCGGCAAGGGAATCGCGCGCACTGACATTCACTGCGATAGACTGGGGGGGGGGGCTCAACTGCCCCAAGGTCGATCTCCTTTAAAAGTGGGTGAAATTCTGGATTACCCCCTTCCCGCTGGTAAAGGGGCCGTTGACTGAGCTGAAGGGAGCTGGCGAGGGGTTAGGCGTCGGTGGCCCAGCTTACACTCGTGTTTTACAAAACATTTATTTTACTTACAATTTATTGTTTACTTGCATGTTTAATGTTTAGTTAAGTACAGTATTTAGCTAAAATTTTGTTTAATTAAAGTGGAGGTTTTAAGTAAGTGCTTGTCTCACGGGTGCTATTAATATTAAGACTATTTTTAAGCATTTTATGTTCAATGGATTTTATATTTTGTGACAGGCAACATGCAGTCGACGGGTATTAAAAACACTATTCCAGCAGGAGCACTGCTTCATGACATTTCATCTAGGAAAAGGAAAACCTACTTTTCCATCAAAAACAGTTTACAGATGTTTACATTTTTGTATGAAAAGAGATGAGTTATATGACAAATCTTAGTTTGATTAGTTGATTTAGAATTCTGAAATGAAGGACACCAGAGAAAATTAAAGATTAAAGAATGATTATTTCTGGGGAAAATATATTTGCAGCAATGATCATATAGTATATGATATGGAGGTTTTATATATATGTGTGTGTGTGTGTGTGTGTGTGTGCATTTTACAGGAAATACATAGTTTCACAGCTTACATATATTAGATTTCTCAGTAACAAATACATATTCACCACATATCCTGCTCATTTTGACATATATTTTGTCTTAAATTCCTTCGGGGGGCTGTTGCCATTCTTGTGGCATTACTGTCTCTAAACAAGAGAAACATCTGCTGTGCTTAAAGTGCGGGAGAATGGAGTCTCTCCACAGCATTTTCTCTACATGTACAATGGGCACTAACTCTTTCTTTCTGCACTTGTGGAGCTGCGATTGGCTGCCGGACGTAACTGGCAGCCTAACAGACAGCGAAGGCCAATGGAAGTGATGAGTTACAATTCAAAGCAGTCCGCCACATTCCGAGATCCTTCTCAAGTCATTTTCGTCATTCGGGTTTTTAACAAAGCCACGGATGAATGGAATTTCTGGCTTCCTCATTAGAGTATTAGAATAAAGCAGTTATTCTGGGGGCTGTTGTGAATTCTAGCTTTCTATGAATACAAAAGTGACGGCTTGGGGGAGGGAAGACTGCTGGGCACTTCTAGCTGAGTGTGTGCTGGACAGCAGGTCAGAGAAAAGGACCTTTTTATGATGGGACAGCTGGCATATTCTGAGAAACTCTGAAGAGGCAGGTAACCGGAAGCCTGCCTCGGGGCGGGGTTGAGGATTAAAAGGGGTCAGAGCTCTAATTAAATATGGGATTGCAATGTTAAGAGGAAAGTCTGTCCCTGTAAATTAACTCTGGAAAGATTCACCAAGAGCTAGACATTCAGAATACAAGCACAGGATGCCAAGGACACCCTGTGTAATGCTTCCTGAGGATACACAGTCTTACCCAGACACTGAGGGTAGGCCTTGTATTCACTGAATGATGTAAGAGTCACTAGCAGAGGCTACATTGCCTGTGCTAGCATGGTAGTTTGAGCTCACTTGCAGGTAGGCCGCAAAATATACTACTGCTAGCACTTTGTTTGGATAGTCCACCTTCTGAGGGTTACCAGAGTATTTATTACATTTGAACAACATAGTTAAGATTCAACAATTCATCTGTTTCACTGTGTCTATAGATATTTAGCAGAAAATACAGTATATAGAGTATATGTAACATACCTACATATTCCTAGAATAATTTAATTGAATTTGACTACTCACTCATGGTATGTAAATTGTCGAATCTCAACTAATAAGTTGTTGAAATATTACAAATACTGTGCATAACCTCAGTAGGTGGACTATTCAAATAAAGTGTTTCCCATTGACTTTGAGACTTTAGTAACACTTTACTTGATGGGGCACAAATACTTAGTGATAACTAAGTTACAAATGAAGTAAAACTTGTGAACAAATCAAGCACAATTATAGTTAACTGAGATAAAAGATGTATCACGATTAATTAATGATGAACAAACATGAGATCAGTATTTCACTTGTGTTATTCATGACTTGTTCCTTCAGTGGTTCACAAAGGATTACAGAATTAACAGACACAGTAACAAACATAGCAACCACTTGAGATAAAAGATGCATCATGAATCATTAATGATGAATTAATGTGAGAACAGTATGTAACTAAGACTTAGTTTGTGGTGAATTAATACATAAGCATTAGCATAATGGTATATTATTTGTGGCCCCATCAAGTAAAGTATTACTGAGATGTTTACAGGAAACAAAAATGTTCAAACAAAAACTGGGGAAAACTAAGATTCAGCACAAAATGTTACAAAGCGCAAGAGAATTATCAGAGAAGCTCAAGAACTGACTTGCATAAAACTGAGCTGATTTAAGACTGAAGCCAGTTTGGAGAGCAAAGGAAGCTTTCTTAGGGAGCACATTAGGTAAGACGCAGCAAGACTGTTAGCAGCAGGAACAGAAGCACAAGCAGGAGCTGATCAGTCCAGATCATTTGGAACTTTCTGGAAAGTTGGTAGGCACCATGAGTATTTTCTGGGAACTAAGGATGTCTAAATAGTCAGGAGACATACTGTATATTATTTTTCCGTCCAGATAATTGCAAAAAGTGAAACATTTACTCCCTGCCTTTCTTATGTACATACAGGCTTGTGGGGGGAAGATTTATATGACTGTGGTTTGTCTGGCAGAAGTGTTGTGTATACTTAGAATTCGTTCCGGACCAAGATAGCCATCTGCAAGAAAAATTGTGAAACAATGCAAAATGTAAAACTAACAAATGGTTTGGAAGCCAGTAGTAATTTTGCTCTGAACTGGACCCACTGGGCAGCATGATAGTTATATTTACTGAAAGGGGGGGTCCAGGAATATCACATGTTTTCCCTGTTTCTCTGGCCACATCAGGGATGATGTTCCACAAGAAGCCGCTTCATCAGCCTGCAGTTTACTTACCCAGAACTCCCAAAATAAGCTAAGCAACTGCATGGTGGGCTGAACAGAACTTCCCGTTTTCCAATTTTGTACTCATCAAAACCATAGATAATTTTTCCGATCTACATCTCTGTGGCAGAGATTCTGGACCCAGTGGCAAACTGGGAATGTTTTGCAATTAACAGTTCAGGTTATACGCCATGTGTTATACGCCATGGAGAATGAATCTTGAATCCTTCTATCTGTACATCTATATGCACACCTAGGGGCAATTTGGTAACTCTAATTAGCCTCAGCATGGTTTTTATGGAGGTCTACAGTCCTACTCTCCTTGTTCATGACAGAAAATAACTTATATATTCTTTAGGGATTTGAAGCTATGGTTGGGGAGAAGGCAGCAGACTGTGTTTGTCTTACCTGCAGGTCGGTGCAGAGGCCTGGATAGTTGCTGCTGCCCCTGCTTTGGTTTCCGCAGGCCGTCCCATTCCTGGAGGCCAGAGCTCAGAGGGGGCACCAGTGGCATGACTGGCCTGACTTGGCTGCAGCGCGTCAGCGGCCTGGACCTGCAAAGCCATCCCATGCATCCCGGTAATGCGATTTCTCCTGCGAGGCTCCGCTTTCCAGCAGGGGCGTCACACTGACAGTGGCAGCTGTGCCGCTTCCCGCCGCTAACTGGATTTGCTGAAGACGCAGCAGAAAAACAGCTTCGGAGTCGCCGATGTTCATCGCTGACGTGCGGTCGCCTTCGCCGATGCTCCTTTCAAGCTGCCTGCAGGATAACGCAACAAAATAGCAAGGAGCGATGAAAAGCGACCGTTTTCAAAGGATGACAAATAACCTCTTATTCTGAAAAATAACCATTCAATTCAAATTTTACCCAAGTTTGTAAATTAAAATTATGGTGCAGAAAAAAGATTGATGGCTATTCATTTGTTATTATTTTCTTCAAAATGTCACTCTTGAGTGGGTTTCGTAATGTTAAACGTTACATCTACTGACTGATGCAGCAAAACGTGTTCATACATGACATGGAATGTTTTTGGATCATATGCAGTCAGACAGAGAAACTTTCAGTCCTGGTTATAGAAATGATCAACACTGATCAGCTTCTCTCACAAGGAACAGTCCATCTTCCGTATTGCAATAAGTAGGTTACAACTCATATGTCTGAATCAGAGTAGCGCACAGAACAGAACAACTGGGTACAGCATTTAGCATTTACTTGCTTTGCAGACATTTGTAGCTAAATGTAGATGCAATTTAAGACTTTACCTGTTTAAGTAACCCTGAGCTTTGAATACTTTTTTGGACAGATGGCTGAATTAACCATCACATGGGAACTGTCACATATTCTGTATGTGCAACACAAGTAATCTTCATCTGAACCTGAGTATTTTGTGAGTATAAAAAGGATGATATATCCAATAAACTACAGCAAACCCATCACAAGTCAAGACAGAATTCATATAACTACAGCAAACCCATCACAAGTCAAGACAGAATTCATATGTCACTTCTGCGTGTAAATCCTGTCTATTTTTTTAACTTTGACTATGTAATTCAAGTCTTGCCAAAGTATTTGTCCTAAGCAGGGATCTCCAGCATTGAGAATTTTGTTGTAAACTTGCTGGAATGATGAATCAGTCATGCTGCAGTGCCCATGCCAAGCGCACGAGAGACACCTGGGCGACATTCTCCATCAAAATAGCTTTAATATGAATTAATGGTTCCTACACTGATGGAGGATCATTATGATCCATAAATAGGAAAGGACTGCAAAGAATAGCAGAAATATTTCATTATTTTGATGGCAGGCTTTGGATCCTTGCCTAACATAACATTTTTGGGTATGAACACAAGGATTTTTTGTAACTCATCCATTGATCTTCCATCCGCTTATCCTGGACAAAGTCATGGGGGGGGGGGTCTGGAGCCCATTCCAGGCAGCACAGGGCACATGGAAAATAATCCAGATATCATTCATTCAGAAAAGTTAGGGCTGCTTTTGATTAAAGTGGAATTTCACAGTAAAGTGGTTCAAAAAAGCCCATATGTCCCTAAACTAAGACCATGTGAAATTGACCCGATGCTCAGTTCCTCTTAGAGGTCAAGCGCTAATGTTTGGTTGTTATTCCTTTCTCTTCAGTTTTCATATAGGCGAGATCACCTTTCATATAGGCGGGGTCACCCTTCATATAGGCAAGATCACCTTTCATATAGACAAGATCACCTTTCATATAGGCGAGGTCACCCTTCATATAGGCGAGATCACCCTGGCACGAGGACACAATGTGCCTAGGAAATGGATGTACTTTCATTATGCAGCCAAATGTCATTCTTTTCTAGTCCTGAACAGAAAGCTGTGTTTAATGCGACTATCATGCACTGTGTGAACCTTCTGCCTCATATGACCACATCCTGTGACATAATCTTTATCTCATACCAGGATCAGGTTATTGGTTCCCAGGTCACTGCTTTGACTCCAGCTGTTAAGCAGCACGGAGACGATAATCCCTGCTTGTCCACCCCACTGCAGCGGTGGGCAGGTGCTGGCTTAGTATGGAGCGAAAGCTGATGTACAGCAGCCCTGTCTTCGTCCAGGAACTTCCTGCTCCGCAGTCATTGAATGTCATGGTGTGTTAGCGCTGCCAAGATTAGCGTAGCCGTTCCTCAGGGCAAGCGGTGAGCACTGGCGACCTCTACTGGGGGAGTGGGGTTACTTATTTATTTATTTTACGTAGCTTGTTCCTTCTATCCCAACAGGTAGGAGAATAAAAGACGCAAAATGGTAAAGTGTTTAGTAAAGAGGGGGAAATTTATGACGGAGATTTTTCAGAATTGCTCATTAGAACTACAACCAAGCTGTGAATAAATGCTATTTTTCTTTAAAAGAAAAAAAACTGAATGTCGGATTTCCAACAGGTTGTTCAGTTGCATCTGGACTGATAGGAAGCTTCACCTTGAGGAAAATCTGTCTGTCCTGCCTGACGTGCATGTCCTGTGTGTGTCTCAGGTCAGTATGGACCAGAATTTGAACTATAAAATTAACTAATTACTTACTATAGGGACAAACTTTCAGTTCATATACTTCCAGTTGTTGGGTTATCACATCACCTGTGATTTACTACCTGTGTGGCCCAGTAGGAGGCAGTGTGTCGCGACTTGTCTTATGGCTGTGCTGTACGGTTACGAGCCCCAAATAAGCCCACCTAAGACATGAATACTCAGCTCAAGCAGCCAGAACCTCAGACCTCAGCTTCATACCAGCAGAAACCTCACCATGAAGGAAAATATAACGTGTCAAAGTGAAACCAGTCGGAGTTATTTAGGACAAACCCACACTGAAGTCACCTTCACATGTTTGCTGCAGAATTGCAATATTAATGGATATACTTTGTTATTTTAACCCCCCAGACAACCTATAAATGAGACAGTCAGTAATTGGTTTGAGCCCTTTTAAGAAATTATGCTGGTCCCATCAATTTTACGCTATAACATATAAAAGGTTCACGTTTGCAGTTTATGTGAAATTGAACTTTATACATTTTCTTGAGCAATGAGGCAAACAGACTGTATTTTGTCACTTTGAGAAAGATTACCAATTACTGGAACACAGTTTTGTGAGGATAATTTTTTGCAATTAAGCTCTTGTTTTGGAATTTAGTATTAGAATTCCCTCCTGTGTTTTGGGGATGAAGGGTAGTTTGATTCAGGTAGTTTGTGGTTAAGAGAACTTCAGCAGGGCAGTTAGACATAGCCACACTTACCCTTCAGCTTAATATGTCCACAGCTGTCACTACGGGCAGTATAAGGGATGCTTTGTTCCCTGAAAATCACGGAGGGCTGTCTGAGGTTCTGCGGGCCTCCTGCAGGTGCGTGATCTTCAGAATAGAAGCAGCCTCCTGAGTGTCTGACTCCGCACAGCCTGCGTTATAGAACGGCAGAGATCCTGTGCACCTAGAATATCTGCAAGTTGAGACTGGAAACAGCCCAGTCTACCTGTTCCACCATCAAAGAGAAAAGAAGTGAACAGCTCTTCATCATTCCTTTCATTCAGGTCACCTTCACTCTCCGGGGTCCATCTGATTTTTCCTTTTCAAACAATTTTACTACAATCTCTGGTAATCCACTCTGCTCTTATGTGTCCCAGAATATATCATTTGTATCTGAGTCCTGCAAAAAAACTATGTCCAAATTTGAACAAACATAACACGTGATACAGTTTATGAACTGACATGCAGCATATGAAAGTATTTATGAATGTGGATAAAATATGTACCGTGCGCCATTTAAAATGTAGAAATGTATCTGAAAGCAGAAGGCAGGGAGGTAAGTTATTGCTTGTCATTAATGTCATACTGAAGTTTTGTGTGTGGCAGTTTTAAGAAAATGTGCACTGTGTGCAAGTTATGAAATTAAGGAATTAATTTATAGCAGGACAGAGCTGAAAGACGACCGTCCAAAATAAATGAAGGTGTACTGGAAGCCATAAAAAAATGATCTAAAATATACTCGAAAAATGGTGAAAGGACCCCATTTTAATTCAAAACCAAAATAGCTTATTCTGGCAGTACAAGTCTAGAGAAAGACTAGCCCATTCTGAAGCCTATTTCTGAGCTCGGCCAGGAAAGGTGTTTGGCGTTACCGTGAAACATTCAGCCATCATCAAGTCATACCATGCAGTTAGAGTCACAGAGGCGCCGAGGATGAAGAACATTTCGGGATCACTGCTCCCGTGATCCAGTCTTGGCTGTGGTCATCGTCACGATGATTTGTCACATCAGCACAGACGTGGGTAAACTTCTGTTTGGACCTGCTAGCGGACGGCAGAACTGGGAGGCTCTGCCTGCTAGATAATGTGCATTGAAGTATGACGTCCTGCTGTACTGATTTGCAAGGATCCTCAAGATCAACTTTTAAACATCACTACTTTTTTAACATTACTAAGTCACTGAGCAAACCCTCCTATCTGACTCACTTACAGCCTTAAAAATAACATACTGTACATCTTTATGTAATTTTTCTCCAAAGAACAAAATAGTTACAATTAAATATCAAATAAAATACAGTTACTCATAAGGAGTACTCAGAAACTCAGTGTACTCAGTACTCCTGTATGTGAAAGAACTGAGATATCATTCATGTTGATGATCTGATTTTATGTACTGCAGGAAAATGGAATAAACACAAGAAATGAATAGCTTTGTGCACAATTTAGGCTAAAACGTGTTACACTTCTGTGTGTTATTAAGTGAGTGAACCAGAATAAACCAGTAAACACTTTCTGGGAATGAAGTGAACCCAGTGATGAGTCAGACTCCCCTGGCGTGTTGGTGCCCCCATTAATTCCTATCTCCCGTTTATTTTATTTTCTTTTTATATAAACGCATCACTCTAGAGAAAGCGTGGGATTTATTTATCGGTTATGTAGATAAAACCTCAATGCCAATTACTTGAATGGCCTTGGGGGGTCGGGGTGGGGGGGTTAGGGGGGTTAGGGTGCTGAGCCACATGCTGTCCACCCTCTTAAGGAGCCCTTAAGTATGATGATATTACAATATTCAAACTGTAAGTTTCAAAAACACAAAAAGTAAAACACAAAAATCAATTCAAATAGCAGGATATCTTGTTCGATGTTGTTTTCACTATATAAAGCAGTGACCTGTTTGTTTTTTTTAGCAAAGGTTTACATCATAGTTATTTGTGCTTGATGTTTTGATCATAGAGGTTTTTTAGAGCAGTGTGGTAATGCTTGTGGTCGGCTGAGTGAACGTTCTCAGCACTGTAACTGGCCCAGCATATGGAGTCGAACACAATAATATTCAATCCCTCTTTTATTCTAAAAGCTCTTTTTCATAGAGTCATTACAAACCAAAACGGCCTCACTCTTTGTACAGGGAATCACACTGA